CAAGGGGGAACGGGGGAGAGGGGGGGGGCATTTTTGGCCAAACTGTGAACGGTCCTTTGGTTGGAGGGTGCTACTGGTAGGTCTTACTTCTTTACTTCCCTTCTGTTTCTTGTGTCTGCCTGTCTTATTTTTCTCTTCCTTTAAGACAGACCGTTGAAGGAGAATAAAGGGAGAAAGCCTTGATTTTGAACCCTTTATTGACGCATTTGCATAGTTGCTATGGTTGGTTCGCGGACGCTCTGATGTGGTCTGCTCCTCCTGTCTGATCAAACTCGAATATTTATTCTTATAACTCATCCTTCTTTTCTTTGGTTACGCCCTGGTTACTTAAGTAAGTACATGTATGTTACAAATGCCGTAAGACTCTTTCTTAGACTTATTCTCTTTTTTTTTTTTTTTTTTTTAAAGCTTCCTCACCACCGTGTTGTGCCAGCGAGTGCCATCACTTGTTTGTAGCAAGACAAACTTGATTGGTGAATAGTCTCATTCTTTAGGGATTTTTTTTATTTTTTATGTCAAACCGACGTTTAAAACGTGAGTGTCGGATCTTTAGACAAGGGCGAGTTTTCCGTGTATGTAGTGGGTGTAATCAGAAGGGATGGGAGATAGTACTTGGGCTGTATCGTGCAAACTGCTTCCGTCATCATCGATATCGATTATGAGGAAAAGATAGATGAGTACTTTCCGCCGCCATTGTTGTAATGGCTGAGGGATCATATATTATTAAACATATTAATTATTACCCACATTGAGCCCAAAGTAGAATGTGAGATGAGTTCGACAAAAAAGAAAGATTTTAATCAATATTTGCATAAGATAGTCTATTGCGTTTATTTAATTTGAGACTTGAATAGACTGCAATACCGGGCCGACCCTTGGCGAGAGCGGAGCAAGCCTCGAGCATCTCGCCTGTGTCCAAAAATCAGTTTAATACCGTAGTGGCTAGGAAGCCACGTATCAGATATTAAGCTGATAAAAACAGATAAGACTTTGAAAGAATAGAATCAATAGGTCGCCAAGTTTTAATTACAAGTTACAGCGCGGGTGGTGGTGACGGTAGGCAGAATACTACACAACGACTGGTGACGTCACAATTTTGTTAGGTGAACCACGCGGAAAACAATGAATGTTGAACGAATTCGATTTGCAGGAATACAACATCATTCTGATTCAAAATTGGGGGGGGGGGGGGGG